TCCCCACGCCTTCACACTTGTCAGATTAAAACCTGTGTTCATACAGCTGCTGTGTTCCCATAGCCCATAGTGTAACAGGTGGCTCTAGCCACATAAACAACCCACTCATTCATGCTGTACAGGTCAGAGGACCTGTGTGAATGTGGCATTTTGTGTTTGTTATATTTATTTTTTCCCAAAGCCCATTGAATTCAATGGGCTGCTTAACATGTGGAAACATGCCACAATACTGCAGGCATGTTATTTTCCAAGTGTGTTGCACCTAACCGCACAGTAGTGTGGTGCCATGCGTTTTTGTGGCTGTGAATGGGGCTGTTTTTAATAGACGTGTGTAGGTGCAATAACGTTTTCATCATGGTACCTGCACACATCTACAGAGGGCATTGCATTTCTTTGCTGTGCTGGAAAATGTGTGTTCTTGCATGCGTTTCTGCACCACCAATGGTGTGTGGAACAAGTCCTAAGGGCCAGTTTCACACTATAGAAACAGTCTAGATGTGTTCCTGATGGGTTTTTTTCATGCCCTTTTGGCATGCATGTTTAGTGTGTTCCAGTACATTTTGGATGCGTTTTGGGACACGTTGACATTGCATTTTTGTATCCCTTCCACTTATTGTTTTCTATTTTCTTTGTATTCAATGTAGTTAGGGACATGTGCGCTTTAGTACATTCAAGGACGTTTCAATGTGTTCCAGTACAGTTCTGTGCAGAAACAATGCAGCGTGGTCAACTTTGTTTACAGCACCTGCAATGCATTGAAAATGCAAGCGCTGATGTGAACTATGACATTGACAACCATATAACCTTCTTTCTGTGCGTTTGTGATGCGAAAAAGCAACTGAAACACATGTAGTGTGAACTGGCCCTAAAGGTTATTAGAGGTCAGGGAACGGGACTGACCAGGAATTGTGAATTCAATCAGACTAGTGGTGAGATACAATCAGCAATTGTATAATAATGTGAGATCTGAGCTGTAGCTGATAGAAAATGAGACACATTCACTTGATCAGTAAATAGATAGTTAAAGAGTGGGGCGGTGATCCATAGATTTGCATATGGGACAGATGATGATGGGGTGGGGAGGGGGTCAAGTTGTATAAGGAGACAGATTTAAAAGAGAAAAAAGTTACAATGAAATATACACGGCATGAAGCTTGCACATTTCCTAATTGGCAAAAGAACAGTACGCAGGTAACATTCATCCACTTTCTAGTCATTAGGCAAAATCATAATTGATTGATCAATATTCCTGGCACTGACACAACCCAGAAAGTTGATCTCTATTTTTTGGGATGTAGCCATGACTGGGATTAGAACCCATGACCCAAGTGCTGTAAGTTCTGAGCTCTAACCACTAAACCACTGGGAGACACAGTTTGAGCTATAATGTAGAATAGTTACATTGTTTAAAAATGATAAAGCGAGCGCTGGTCAAATGATATAGACTAGTAAAATGGTATTACACAAGATAAATATAACCACAAACAGTAGTGCATGAACTTGTGAAAGGTCATCCACCCCTGTGACAGTGTACTACACTATTAAGCACCTTTCTGGCTCCTGTGGCTGAGCTAATTCCTCCCCAGGACCATTTGGGCACCCACCTTGATGGATGGATGGATGGAGCTGGATGACTAACCCATAGCTGCCAGCATACCGCTGCAACCCCCAGATGTGTGATGTGTATAACCCATGCACATTAATACTTTTGTTCTGGTGAGTGTAGACCAGTCCCCAAGGGTGGTTTACTTTTCACAAGTTCAAGCACTACTGTCCGTCATGGAGAGACCACACGTGCCATTCATAGGCACTCTCTGAGTTGGTACTCTCACACGAAGGACATTCCATTATTCAGGAATGATTATATGAACTTATTTTAGCACGATTTACCAGTTTACATCATTCTTGCAATTCTTTGCACTTTTTGGTTTTTACATGCGTTCATTATTGATCACATGCATTTATAGCGCTGCACTTGTCTTTAACATAGAATAGCTATGTGATTAAAGAGAATGAAGATATATAATTATATTGGGAAATTAGAAGTATATAAATTATTTGAGATATAAGTGTGAAAATGTTTAACATTTGCATACAGAATGTATGACATTCATTAGTAAATGCATTCGTTTCCTGATCATTTTGGAGAAACAGCAAAAAAATTAAAATAAATAAAAATAGGAAATTCTAATACAGGTGTACTATTTATTACATTCTAAGGATTTAGCGAACATATCCGGTATTGCACCTAAAAATGTGCCAGACGGGATACCACATTTACTAATAGCAAAGTAGTCAGTAGACGCTCGTTAATGAGCTTGCTAGATGCTGGCCAGACGACTGATTGATTGACCTGACTCTGCCTGAATGGTCAGTCTCTGATAGTACACTCACATCTTAGTGAATCAAGGCCATTGTGACTTACAGTATATCTCTGCATTAATTGACAAGAAGGTCCCTATATTTAAAATGCACTTGTTATTTAGCTGCAGAAACCATCCCTCATATACAATAAAGAAAAATCAAAGTATTAAGGTGGTTTTAAACCACTGCTAATGCTTTAAAAGATGACAGTAACTCAGAACAGGGAGAATTTTCCTATCATATGCATTTATTGAGATTAGCAAATGTTTTCTTCTGTGATTTCCCAGTGCACACAAAGAGCTTTGTGGCAGGAAATTATACTGTTATTTGCTTTGATCATCAATTCTGTCTAAAATGTGCTGCTACTGGCATTCCTCTAAATGTGCAAGCCTCAACTTGCAATTACTGTATGTATGTGTGTTTTAAAGGCCTTGTAAAAATAGTGTACATTATCACAGATGTCCCTTCAGGCATCAGAGTTAGCTGTTGCCTTAATGAAAAAAGATGTCAGCTAGTAATACAGATCTCCAATAGGGGTGTTTTGTTGATCATGTCAGTGTCAAAGCAGGGTTATATTAAGTGGTAGATTAGGTAAACCCAACAGCGTGACAATAAATAATGTCATGGACATAAAAGTGGGTCAGGGGGAATCCATTGTGGATATGAAAAAGGAATGCTGCACAGTCCCCAAAGTTTTTATAAAACAATAATCTCAGGGACAGAGCCAGCAAGAGAGCTGCATGGAAGCTTCTTAATACAGCTCTCCTGAACACACTGTGCCCAGACTTATTGCCAGTGACTTGCCCACTCCAAAAACACATCTGTGGAGAAAAAGGATGACTAGTAAGCGAAAGGCTGAGAGACGTCCACAAAAACTCAGACTTCAGCCCCAGCCACCACACAGCAGCTCCTGACACGGTGGAGGTTCCTCTTCCTCCTCACTGATCTCTGTGCAGGGAAGAACAACAGCTCTGCAATAGCCATATGGAGGACACTCTACTATCCACAGCACTGCACAGCAGATCTCCTCTGCCTCCTCTACTTCTTCCACTACCAGTCCTGATACATCAAAGCCCAGGATCACTCCATCTGAGTCCTGCAATGCTGGGGTAAGCTTGAACTTCCCTACAACTGAGCTACATGTTGTTATTGATCCTATTTCTACACTTCCCATTCCCAGACAGCCTATTCTGCATACTACACTAAAGGACTTGCTCATCTCCCTCAGAAATTCATTACACTCTTACATAATGACATGTATGAATTAGTTTAGAGTGGAGCATTTGAAGCAGCAAAATGGGAGAGTTCACGAATACCTTCAAGGTACTAGTAGACTCACACAATGATAGAGAGGAAGAAATCAGATGGCTTAAAGATAAAGTAACAGATCTTGAGGGCAGATCTTTCAGAAATAAAGTCAAGATGCAAGGAATTCCAGAGTCAGTACAGCCTGACCACCTTAGAGTCTAAGGATAATTCTGCAATGTAGTACATGACATTACAAATTCTGAACTATTCATTGATTAAATGCACCGTCCACCCAACCCTAGTTACCTGCCTGAAAAAATTTCAACGCATGTGCTTCTTCAAGTCCATTTTTTCATATCAAAGAAAAATTCATGGACACTCTTTGTAAATCTCAGTCTCCTCCTCCGCAATACTCATTGCTGCAATTTTTTGCAGATCACTCCAAACACACCGCTAAGAGATTCACTTTATGGAAAGAAACTTTGTCGCACTGTGATCTAATGTGTATCCAAGAAACTAATTTTTCAGCCTCCAACACACCTAAATTCACGCACAAAAAATTTATATATATATATATATTGTGACAGGAGGTCAGGAAGAACTAGGGAATGTGTTCAGGACGGGAGGTATATTTGTCCCAGGTTCATGCTCTACACAGACTGTTTCTCCTGTTGTGCTGTGTAGTGAGCCTGTGTGGCTCAGTGATTATGTAATTAGCTCAGGTGTAGTGAGTTAAGGGCTCTGGGCTCCATAAAACTCCCAGGCTGCATAGGGAGAATGCTCCAACCTGGAACCAGTTTGCTGTGCAGGACAGGCTGGGGAGCAACCCAACCATCCTGTGGTGAGAGATAATCTGTGTGATCTTAGACCAGGGGTCCTCAAACTACGGCCCGCCACATGCGGCCCGCCGAGGACATTTATCCGGCCCACCGGCAGGGGCGTATTTGTCGCGAGGAAGGGACACTAAGTACAGGGGCAGGCAGGGGGCTGCTGTATCTTACCTGGCTCCGTGTCCCAGTCCCACGACAATCCAGTCCAGGAAGTGCTGCTCCTTTCACTCCGGCCACTCCCTCACTCGATGGTCGCGCTGCCGCTCGGCTCCGCCTCCTCTCCAGTGATTGGGAGCCAGAACTGTAGCTCAGGAAAGGCACACGGGCGGCCAATCACCTGCGAGGAGGCGGAGCCGAGCGACCCCGCGAACATCGAGTGAGGGAGAGGCCGGAGTGAAGAAGGACAGCTGACAGGTAAGTGTGCTGTGCAGATGGTGCCGCTGCAACCAGGTATGTTGGCTGCAGCAGCACCATGCTGGAACAGGGGTCAGCAAGTTAAGTGTCATTGGTGTCAGTGGGAGGAATAGTGCCCCATCATCGGTGTCACTGATACTAATGATGGGGCATTATTCCTCCCACTGTCACCAATGATGGGGCACTATTCCTCCACCCACTGACACCAACGATTGGGCTCTATTCCACCCCCCACTGACAGCAATGATGGGACACTATTCTTCCCACTGACACCAATGATGGGACACTATTCCTCCCACTGACACCAATGTTGGGACACTATCCCCTTCCCCCGCTGACACCAATGACAGGGCACTATTCCCCCCCCCCACACTGACACCAACGATGGGGCCCTATTCCTCCCCCCACTGACACCAACAATGGGGCACTATTCCTCCTCCCACTGACACCAACAATGGGGCAGTATTCCTCCCCCCACTGACACCAATGATGGGGCACTATTCCTCCCCCCCACTGACACCAACGATGGGGCACTATTCCTCCCCTCACTGACACCAACGATGGGGCACTATTCCTCCCCCCCACTGACACCAACGATGGGGCACTATTCCTCCCCCCCACTTTGACACCAACGATGGGGCACTATTCCTCCCCCCCTTTGACACCAATGATGGGGCACTATTCCTCCCACTGACACCAATGATGGGGCACGATTCCTCCCACTGTCACCAATGATGGGGCACTATTTCTCCCACTGACGGGGCACGTTTCTTCCCACTGACACCAATGACGGGGCACGTTTCTTCCCACTGACACCAATGATGGGGCCCTATTCCCCCCACTGACACCAATGATGGGGCCCTATATCCCCCCCCACTGACACAATGAAGGGACACTATTCTTCCCACTGACACGAATGATGGACACTATTCCTCCCACTGACACCAATGTTGGGACACTATCCCCTTCCCCCACTGACACCAATGACAGGAACTATTCCCCCCCCCCACACTGACACCAACAACGGGGCATTCCTCCCCCCACTAACACCAACAATGGGGCAGTATTCCTCCCCCCACTGACACCAACAATGGGGGCAGTATTCCTCCCCCCACTGACACCAACGATGTGGCACTGTTTCCTCCCCCCACTGACACCAACGATGGGGCACTGTTCCTCCCCCCACTGACACCAACGATGGGGCACTGTTCCTCCCCCCACTGACACCAACGATGGGGACTGTCCCTCCCCCCACTGACACCAACGATGGGGGCACTATTCCTCCCTCCCACTGGGGACCCACTGGGGACTCCCCCCCACTGCCTATTTCCCCCCACTGACACCAATGAATGGGCACTATTCCTCCCCCCACTGACACCAACGATGGGGCACTATTCCTCCCCCCACTGACACCAATGATGGGGCACGATTCCTCCCCCCACTGACACCAACGATGGGGCACTGTTCCTCCCCCCACTCCCACTGACACCAATGACGGGGCACTGTTTCCCCCCCACTGAAACCAATGACGGGGCCCTATTCCCCCCCACTGACACCAATGACGGGGCCCTATTCCCCCCCCACTGACACCAATGATGGGGCACTATTCCTCCCACTGACACCAATGATGGGACACTATTCTTCCCACTGACACCAATGATGGGACACTATTCTTCCCACTGACACCAATGATGGGACACTATTCTTCCCACTGACACCAATGATGGGACACTATTCCTCCCCCCACTGAAACCAATGACAGGGCACTATCCCCCCCCACACTGACACCAATGACGGGGCACTATTCCCCCCCCCCACACACACTGACACCAACGATGGGGCACTATTCCTCCCCCCACTAACACCAATGATGGGGCACTATTCCTCCCCCCACTGACACCAACAATGGAGCAGTACTCTCCCCCCACTGACACCAACGATGGGGCACTATTCCTCCCCCCCACTGACACCAACGATGGGGCACTATTCCTCCCCCCCACTGACACTAACGATGAGGCACTATCCTCCCCCCACTGACACCAAAGATGGGCACTATTCCTCCCCCCACTGACACCAATGATGGGGCACTATTCCCCCCCCCACTGACACCAATGATGGGGTACGATTCCTCCCACTGTCACCAATGATGGGGCACTATTTATCCCACTGACGGGGCACGTTTCTTCCCACTGACACCAATGATGGGGCACATTTCTTCCAACTGACACCAATGATGGGGCACTATTCCTCCCACTGACACCAATGATGGGGCACTATTCCCCCCCCACTGACACCAATGATGGGGCACTATTCCTCCCACTGACACCAATGATGGGGCACTATTCCTCCCACTGACACCAATGATGGGGCACTATTCCTCCCACTGACACCAATGATAGGGCACTATTTCGCTCCATAAGACACACTTGGGGAAATGTCTGTGCGTATTATGGAGCACATTTCGTGCCATGGCCCAGTATTCCCACCACCGTTGTATGTCCCCCCGCAGTCTCTGGTCATCTCCCTGTACTGTGTCCACAGTCTCTGGTCATCTCCTGTACTGTGTCTGCATTTGTTCACAGTTTTTTTTTTTTACAACAATAGTCCGGCCCTCCAACGGTCTGAGGGACAGTGAACTGGCCCCCTGTTTAAAAAGTTTGAGGACCCCTGTCTTATTACTGTGTGAACACTATGGGGAGATTTACTAATACAGTTGTATGCACTCAGAATCTGGTACAGCTGTGCACACAGTCTAGTCATCTCCTGTACTGTGTCTGCTTGTTCACAGTTTTTTTTTTTTTTAAACTGAAACCTGCCCTCCAACGGTTTGTAGGGACAGAGCTGCCACCAAATTTGAGGCACTCACCAGTTTAGTAAATCTGTGTGAACCCCCTATGGGGGGGAGATTTACTAATACAGGAGCACTCAGAATCTGGTGCAGCTGTGCACGGTAGCCAATTGGCTTCTAATGTCAGCTTGTTCATTTAAGCTTTGATAATGAAACCTGGAAGTTGATTGGTTTGTATGCAGAGCTGCACCACCAAATTTTGCACTCACCAGTTTTAGTAAATCTCCCCCTATGGGGGAGATTTACTAATACAGGAGCACTCAGAATCTGGTGCAGCTGTGCACGGTAGCCAATTGGCTTCTAATGTCAGCTTGTTCATTTAAGCTTTGATAATGAAACCTGGAAGTTGATTGGTTTGTATGCAGAGCTGCACCAAATTTTGCACTCACCAGTTTTAGTAAATCTCCCCCTCTGTGTCTAAGCAGTGGTAGGCTGTATTCAGACAGCTAGATAGGAAAAAAAGAGAAAAAAGAAAAGTGCGCCAGACTAAGTGCAGTAGGAATATAACAGTTTATTGCACACAAGATTATAAAAACTCACAAGAAGTGGGTAGATATCAGGCATCAATATATAAGGAGGAGGATGTCATCTGTGCTGCACCTCACAAATGGATGGCTGCAATGCCAAGGTGTTGTGCGGCTGGCGCTCAAGGTGGGTCCCACAGGAGGAAGCGAGGATGGCAGGCGCAGTAACCGGGAGTCGTCGCGGCACAGATAAGAACCGGGATCCAGGCGGGCGGGCACTGCTGATCTCTCACATCAGCGTGGGTACAGGAGCCAGCTTGAGGCACATCCAAGATGGCCACCGGCAGGAAAATGACATCAGGACGTTTCCTGGGAATCCTCCAAGGGGGCAGTGATGCGTTTCTAGGCAACCTGCCTTTTCATCAGACCTGAATGGCTAAATGGGATGAGCCAATATATAAGGAGAGGAGGAGGGGTGGGGCAACTGAGGGGAGGGGTAGTGAATTAGAAAAAATGTATAATGCATACGGGCTTAACAAGCAGTAATGGAAAAACATAAGAAATGAACATTGAGCAGCTGCTTTCTGTAGAACATGTGAAAAATAAAAGGAAAAGGAGAAGAAAGGAAGGAGATGGACTAAAAAAGCAATGTTGGCAAGATAAATAAATACTTGGGCAAATTAATATGTATGAATAAAAGTATATATAATATACATAAATACATAGACAGTGAAAGGAAATAATTGTAAATATATAATAAATTAAAATGAAATAAAAATAAAAGGAATAAATATAAAGAAAAAAAATATATATATATATCTATATCAGATCATAGGGAAAAAAAAAATTAATGAAAAATTATTATTGAATATATTAAAAAAAATTAATTGATTAAAATTAATTAAAATTAGAATTATGCGTGTGTATATAAATATATATATATATATATATATATATATAATTATTATATATATGTGCCCATGAAACACACCAAAAAAAGGCATGTAGAAAATAGAAGATACAGGGGATATTTAATTATAAACGTTATTACTATGATGTGGATTATGAAGGGTAAGATGGGCGGGTAAGAAGGGTAGAATATGAAGGAAAGGGAGGGAGGGAGGGGAAAGGGGGGGGCAATGGGGGAAAAAAATAAAGAAGGAGGTGTGGGAATTGAAGTATGTACTATAAAAAATAATAAATAATAATAAATAAAATAATAAAGAAGATGTGAAGAATAAATTATAATAAATTATTAAAAAATTAAATAATCGTGTGTATCTCAATCTCTTCATTGAGGCCCCTAGGTGCAAGGGTATCTAAAGTAAAGATCCAATAGGTCTCCTGTTGGCATAATAATTTGAAACGTTCAGCTAGGGGGAGATGGTCTGGTATAGCCTCAATGACCCATACTTGTAGATGGAGAGAGGAGGATTTAGAATGAAACTCTGAAAAATGGCGGGGAACACTGTTGGTAATGCCATCATCAACTGACCTCTGATGCTCGCCAAATCTTTTTCGCAGTGTTCTAATGGTACGTCCCACATATAAAAGGCCGCACGGGCAGGACAGACAATAAATTACATATGTGGAAGAGCAATTATAAAATGCTTGGATGGGATAGGTTTTTCCATTAATTGTAAAATTTTTGTTGGCCATGCTTCACATGGGCACTCGTGAGGCAGAGCGGTTTATTGCAGCGGAACATCCCAGTAAGTGGGATTAGTACCGGTCTATTGTGAATGGGGGGGATTTTAGGGGGGGAATTTTGCTAGGTGCAATTCTATTCTTAATGTTAATTGCTCTTCTATATACAAATGTGGGGGTAGGGGGCATTAATCATTTTGAGATGTGGGTCTTGATGTAAGATAGGCCAGTGTTTCTTCAGGATGGATTCCATTTTGTGATGTTTTAGAATGGAATTGTGTAATGGAACGGATATTGTTATTGTTAGATGATTGCGGGCTTTGGTGGGGGGATCGTGTCTGATAAGTAGGTGAGATTATGCTTGTTCTACTAAATCAGAGGGATATCCTTTTTCTGTACATTTTTGTTTTAATTCAATGCTTTGGGCTTTGTAGTCCTTAAGTAAGGTACAGTTGTGTCGGAGTCTACAAAACTGTCCTTTAGGTATTTTTTGAGCCATCTAGGGTGATGACAGCTAGTATTAATGAAGAAAGGAATTTCCAGCGGTTGGTTTGGTGTAAATTTTTAGCTATAATATTGGAATACGAGTAGCTAAGTTCCAGGTCAAGAAAACTTAGTGAAGTAGGGTCCATGACATAAGTAAAAGAAAGATTGAA